GGGCAGGTCAGGAGAGGTCTGCTGGCCATGTGGGTCACCTCCGGGGCGGGGACTGAACTCATGCTGAGTGGATTTAGCTTCTTAATACTGTGCTTTAACCTGCTGCGCCACCAGGGAGGGCCCCGATAGCGATTTTTTTATTTGCTGTTGTATCTTCACCTCTTGAGGGAACAAGGTAGGTAGGTGGGCAAACTGGAGAGCAAGAGGCGAGGGGTACACACAAAGGGGTCTCCTTGTCTCAGATTCTGAGATGTGCCTGCCTGGGGGTGCCCCTTCCCCCTGCAGCTCCTGCCATGCTTTTGGCACGTGGTACAGCTGCGCCCCACAGCGGCCTGGGAGTTGTGGAGGCGATCCGTGAAGTCTGCTTGTTTTTACTCAGAATGATGGCGCTGCTTTCTCTGCCTTCCCACCAGCTAGCCAGTGGCTACTCCACCCTCAGTTCCCAGGGAGCAGATGCGTGAAGCCCCTCAGTTCACAGGGAGCAGACATGTGAAGCCCCGGAAGCCCCACCACCTCACTGGCGTCTCCTGAGTGGCAGCAGAGTTGGGGGGACGAAAATCCACGGGCTTTAGAATCAGTCAGCCTGACTCTGAATCCTGACTCTGCTATGTCTACTCCCAATTAATCAATCTGGGGAGTCGAGGGCTTGCCTCAGCCCCTTGGGGCTACCTGGAGACTGGGGCCCATTGTGGCCCAGAGAGCTGTTCCAGGGGTGCCAGCCTGCCCACCTCCCACTCACAGGTCAAGGGGACCCGGGCTGTGTTTACACTCAGCTCACACCCTCTCTCTCTTCATGCCTCTGGGAAAATGCACTTGGGCGGTGACTCCGAAAAGCACAAGTCACACACTGCACGGGCAGCCTGGCCATGGGGTTCTGAGCCCCAGCTCCTGCCCAGTCAGCAGAGCCCCGGGTGGGGGCTCAGTCCAGAGCCCACTGATGCAGCTGTCTGCTTGTTTGTCGACATCCCACGTGCACCCCAAGGTCCTCAGGGTTGGGGATCCGCCTTGCTCCTCTCTAATATTTGCTAAATAAATACTTGTTCTCGGAGGGAGGGACGACAACCTCTTGCTGTCTAGGAGACGTGTGGACCGAGAGGAACAAGCCACACCAAAAAAGGTCCACACTGTAGTCACTCCTGTGTTACAGAGAGAAATCAAACAGGCGACTGAAATACAACAAAAATAAACTTGTGGGCTAGAAGAAGAATTAGAAGTTACGCAAAGGTAGGGGGTCATGGCAGGGTTTGCGGTGTGGGTATGGTGGACGGGTTTGGACTCTGAGGTGACACTGATGCAGTGTATAAACATGTAGCTGCAAGGCCGTGTCTGAAACTACCTGGTGTTACGGTGCAGTGTTCTCATGTTATCAAGCCCAGGAATGCCTGGGAGCCCACAGACCTCCTGAGTCTCACTGTCTTCCCTGGGCGGTCCTGTGGAGGGGCCCCCAGGGCCCCTCTGGGCTTTGCACTGACTGTTGCTCCCACCTCTGCAGAGCTGATTGTACCAGCTTCCCCAGGCCCTGTGATAAGACAGCCAGGTGGCCAGTTCCTTGGTCCCCAAGAACACTGGGGTAAACATCCTCCTCTGTCGGCCCTTGTGAGTTCTCCCCATTTTATAGGCAGAAGAACTTGAAATGCTTCCAGCCCATGTGGCTTGCCCACAGCCCCCTCCAGTAAGCAGGTGGGGGTTGCTACACATGCTGCCTCCAGCAAGACTTTGGTGTCAGACACACCTACTCAGATCACCTGGCCCGTTTTCTCATCCCTCAAGTGGAAATGATAATATTATTTCCCTTAAGCACTTGACATGAAGAATAAGTGAAGGAAAACCACTCAGCAGAGTTCCTAGCACACAGTCAGTGTGCTTTCCTCTTTCCAGAGACTGCTCTTTGACTCTTCTATACCCGTGTTTTTTCTGTTCTGGGCTTGCATTATTAGTAATTTTCCTGGCATATTCCCTTTTCAAAAAGACCTCCAGCGATGACTCTGGAAGTAATCAGAAAAGGTCTGTGACTGGGAGGGGGGACGAGGAAAGGTGGCAATTGCTGCAGGAATGAGGGCCAGCGGGCTTCTCTGAGTTAGGAATCAAATTGGGCTTAGCCACACCGTCTGGAGTACAGAAAGCAGAGGCTCCTTCCTCACTTTGCAGGGACACCCTTGTGTATCTTGGAGAGGAGTCAGGGCAAGGATAACCCCAGCACCTGGAGTGGGGATGGGAGGGCCAACCTGGGGGGGCCGAGGCTGAGCACAGGATGCAGGGGCTGGATAAGGCCAGCAGAGGGCGCTGCACACCTCCGACAGAAGGTGGTGGCCATGTGCTGTTGTCAGGTAGTAGGCGGGGTTTGTAGGGTCTTGAGGGACGGGGGAGCCCCCCATCCTGGAGACCTTTACTGCTAAAATCGAGACAGTTCAGACAAACAGACGAGTTGGTTCCCTGGCTGGCTAGTTGAAGAGGCCTCTGCACCACAAATATCCCACACAACCCGCTTACACATGTATACACAAGTACAGTACTCAACAAGGACATGTGGACGTGCACCACACCCACATGCAAACAAGCAGTACATCACAACCCACACAGTCCATGTGCTGGTCACACCACATGCCCAACACAGACCACACACATACCCGTGCACTTCACGCCACCCGCCTAACACAGCAGACCTGCACCCTTCACACAGTACACTTGTAACACACACAGTGTCCTCATACAACACAAATGCATCATACATGTGCAGCACAGCCACAGCACATATGCACACCAGAGCACATATGCACGCTGCATGTGATGGCCACACCCCACACACATCACAATCCATGTCTGCACACATGCATACATGACCGTGCATCATACAGCTCACACCTGTGCACTTCACACCACAGTGTCCCCAGGTAGCAGGCCCCACCGAACACCCTGTGCACCTATGCTGCATGCAGGACACACACGCAACCTCTTGAATACACACGCCACACCACATAATACACAAGTACCCACACGGGCATCTGCACAGCATGCTTGCCCACACACACACCTCTTTCTTGAGGCACTATCTCTTTTTGGTAGAAATAAGGATCCTCATTCTTGCTCTAGACCAAGGAAAAATGGATCAAAAAAACATGAACATGTCTTATTCACTCCCTCAGCAATTATGTGTTTACTGTGCGTTGGGCCCTGGACGCCAGAGGAAGCAGGCGTGGAGCAAACCAAGGTGTCAGTGGCCACGCAGCTTTGGTTGCAATGGGTGATGAGAATTAAGACTCCCAAGAGCACAGGACTGCAACAGGCGGGCCTGGGAGTTTCCCGAGGGGAGCTTTTAAGCTGAGATCAGCAGCCTGAGCAGGGTTTGGGGCCTGGCGCGGGGGTGTGGGGTTAGCAGGCACACCATCTCAGGCATGGGCCTGCATTTGCAGGGCCCTGAGGTGAGCGGCAGAGGATGGTTCACAGGAGCCCATCAGTGACCCTGGGAGTTTGACCCGGATAGTTAAAGGGTGTGTTTGCGTCCCCAGAACTCTCTGTGACGAGCAGTGGCGTCTATGGAAGGAACCTTGGCCAACCAAATGAAAAAGCGCCATTACCCCCTGATACCGGCAAGCAGGTCCTTCCTCTGCCGTTAACTGGTTACTCACTCATGGGTCAGCCTTGGCACTGGCAGGGAAGCGGTGTAGGGGTGACTGTGATTGGCCACTATCTCCCTGGGCAGTCTGCATGGGCCTCTGTTGTTTAGCTTGCCTGCCAGAGGTGGAGCCGCCCAGCCAGGTTGGGCACATGAGCTCAGAATTGGAACTGGAGCTGAGAACTGTCCTCTTGGTGAAGGGGGCTAAGGAAGGTGGCACAGGCAGACTGATGTGGTAGTTCAGGCAGACTGAAGCTTCTGCCTGGATTCAAGTCCCTGCTTGGCACCTGTTAGCTGTGTGACTTTAAGGAAGCCACTTGGCCTCTCTGTGCCTTAGCTTCATACTGAGAAAATAGGCATGATGTTACTAACACCCATCCTACAGTTGTAAGAACTTAATGAGTTAATACCTGAAAAAAAAACCTCAGTTTTTTTCAGAGTCAGAGGCACATATATGTTGACTGTGAGTGGTGCTTAGCCTCCTCCCTCAAGGACGCCCCCCCCAAAACAAAACCACCAATAACAATCATCATATCAAGCTGTACTGGACCCAGTGCCAGGCAGGGAAATCCCTTGGAGAACATGCTCTCCACCGCCCTCTGCGTTTTACAGATAAAGCTGTTTGACCCAATAACCCAGAGATGGGAGGACAAGAACCACGGAAGGGAAAGGGAGGGAAGAAGTTGGCTAACTCTGGGAAGGGGTTCCCATCTGGAGGGTTAGTTAACTAGTTAAACACAGGCCTCCGTCTGGACCCCACCCAGGACTGACCCCCCCCACACACACACGCATCTCAGTGGGTCTGAAGACTCCACATTCCCCACAAGCTCCCAGGTGATGCATGGAAAGCTGGCGGCCCCTCAGCAGAGCTCACCCGGGTTGGGAGGGGTGGGGAAGGGGGAGCGAGGGCCTTACTTACAGCGGGTGCCGTACCTCGGGCAGCGCCCTCTGCAGGGGGATGCGGGCGCTCAGCTCCTGCTCCAGCCTGAGCGGGCTCAGCTCCCCTTCTTCAGACACCTCCGGGTAGTCCTCCTCCTCAGCCCCCCAGTCCCTGTCTGGGGCCTCCTCGCCCTGCCTCCTGCCGGGCTGCTGGATGAGCCGGTAGCCGCCACCTCTCCGGCCCTGGCTCTGGTTCCTCCTGGCCCTGGGGGAGGCCACGACCACCAGGAGCTGGTCCTCCCGCAGCGAGATAAAGGGCGGCAGGTCCTCCAGGGGCCCGTCGTAGTCTTGGCCCTCATCCTCCAGGACCCACTCCTGGGACTCCCCGAAGTCCAGGCGGTACCTGGCCGGGGGGCTGTGCTCAACGACCTGGGCGGCCGCCGGCAGGTGCTGGGGGTGCGGGGCGGGGTGCCGCACGGCCACCAGCAGCAGCAGGCCGCCCAGCAGCAGCAGGAGCAGCAGGAACGGCCGTCGGCACGGCCCATGCCTGCGCGGCTTCCTCAGCAGCATGTCGCCGCGGGAACTTGCCAAGTGCAACAGGTCATGTTCAAGTCCGCCTTCTCCTCCTGTCCCAGGCTCCCTCACCCGAGCAGCAGAACCTGGGCTCCCGGCTCCACCTGGAGGCGTCTCGGCGGCCGCTCAGCCCGCTTCTGTCCCCGCGCTGACATCTGCCAGGTGTGTAAGGCAGGCTGCCGCGGACCAACAGAAACCAGAGGACCCCGGCCCCGGCCCCCCAAGTTCTCTCTCAGTGGATGTCTTTAATTGCCCCCTGGAAGTTCGTTCACAGGGACTTCAAGCCGAACCGTTTGTTCCCCTCAGCCCCCCTTTTCTCCTTGGGAAGAAACCTTCCATGCTGCTCAGGTGTTTAGTCCCGGGATGCGCGCGCCCCGTGCGTGTGGTCAGGGGGCGGTGGACGCCGCTTGGGCGCCGGCGGGTCCTGCGGGCAGGGCTGACGCCGTCCTCCTGTGGATGCTTCGGGCCAGGCGGGACCCACCGAGTGCGCCGGCGGGTAGCGCCTCCTTTCCTCTCACGCCGTTCCCGGGCAGGCAGCGCGTCCTTGCCAGACACAGCCCCAGCGCCCAGCGCGGCGTCGCTCCTGGTCCTAATGCCCTCACGCTTCCCAGGCTTTGCACAACCCCGCGAGCGCAACTCCGGGGAAAACAAGCGGCGTCACTGCCAGGACCAAGCCCAAACAGGAGCATCCCGGGATGAGCCTTGGGCTGCGCCCAGGCGTGGGCGGGCGTCTTCCCTCCTGGCTTGGCGGCTGTGTGACGCAGGTGCCGGCAGCCGGCTGTCGCCCTGCACGAAGCTGGCCTGGACTCCACCGAGTCCCTGAGGACCTCTTGTTGTCCTGGAAAGAAGCAAAGCAGAGATGCTCTTGTAAGCCCCTCCCACCCACAGGCACGTCCCTGAGGCCTACTGTGCGCTGGGCCAGTGAGGGCGTCTGGGCATGCTGGGCTCCTCAGTCCTGTGGCACCCTTCATTCAGCCAGGGCATATTAACACGCACCCCCTGGGTGCCCAAACACCAGTCCAGTTGCACACCTGGCCTCATCGCTGTGCCCTGTCTCTGCCAGCGTCCTCTCAAAGAGCCCTGGTCCCAACTGGCTTCCAGAACCTTCCTTACAGAGGGTTGGTCACAGCTACGTGCTCTCTGAACATAAGGCCTCCCCAGGTCACCATCTTCCTGTGACACACCCATGCCACTTTTGGGAGGGTGGCATGGGATTTTCTTGAGACAGCCTTGCCCCCACCAGCCCACTTCTGTTCCCACACACCCATGCTGGGTGGACCTTAGCTTCTGGCCACTGCAGGGGCCTCTCTCTGAAATTTCTGCCAGTCACCTCCACTTAGCTTTCTGCCCTGAGGGGAGAGCTTGGGCATTTGCAGGGTCTCACTGGAACCTAAAATCCCTTTGCACTCCTCTACCCATTCCTCTCCAGACCTAGGGGTCTTTCAAATTATACATTTAACATTTTTAATTCTCAACGAGATCGTGGCAGTCGTGGCTGGTTCCTGTTGTGGGTCCCCTGGCCTGCTCTGTGCTCATAAGCAGGTAAAGGTGGACAGGTTCGTGCATCAAGTGCCCAGAGTCCCCTGCCTGCCTGAGAGCTCTCCGGCCTCAGGAAGCATATCCAGCTTCCAGACAGAACTGTCAGGAGTGTTTGAAATTTAATTCAGGGGCAACTTCAGTCATTAGAGGAGGGGAAATTGGTGTTTCACTGGATAATACTGAATAGATTTGGTGAGATGATTCTGAGACATGGTGCCCCAAGTCATGGGATTTCTATCCTGGGTGGCAATCTGCTCGTCGATAACCCATTTATTCACTTTCTTCCTTCTTTGTCCCATCCCCTGCCTGGTGCTTCTTGGGTTCCCTTCCCAAATAAACCACCTACCTCGAAGGTCTTATCTGAAGATCTGTTTGCAGAACAACCAAATTAAGAGCAAGATACAAATATTCTGAAATACTTAAAAATCAATATAAATACTCATGAAGCTCTTTTATTTCCACTTGTGGAGTAATTAGTGCAAGAAATAACTTCCTGTGGTATTCAGCAGGACCACTTCTGTCCCATTCTAAAGGTCTATGACAAAAGTTCTAATCTGTACTCTGTACAATAAGCACATATGGTCGCCTCCCCTTTTCTACGGGGTACATTTCAGCCAGAGCCTAAAACCTCGGGTAGCACTGAATCTTATGTATACAACATTTTTCTCCCCATATAAACCTAAAACAAAATTTATAAATTAAACACGGGAAGAGATTAGCAAGTAATAATGTAACCAATAATAAAATAGAGCAAGTACAACAATTTACTGTAACAAAGGTTATGTAAGGGTGATCTCTCCCTCAAAATATCTTATTGTACATATTTTTAGACTGAAACTGTAGAAAGTAAAACAGCAGTTAAAGGGATCTAATGTATCAATGAATCAGTGTTCTCTTATTTTTTATAAAGATTTATTTATTTAGTTAGTTATGCATATAGAACTGTGGTATAGGCCAGAGGTGTGAGGATTCACCAGACACAGTGTGGGGAGCAGAACAGGCAGATCGACAAAGTACACTGCTGAGGGGGGCAGTGGGTGAGACAGGAGAAGTCTGCCACGCCATGTGGGTCAGCTCCCTGGACATGGCGAAGCTGCTGGGGCCAGCTCGCTCCACAGTGCTGTGCTTAACCCATTGTGCCACCATGGAGGGCCCTAATCAGTATTTTCTTAAATCTAAAGTCCTAACAACAGTGAAGCATTCTCTTGTATGTTCTATATTATGCCTGGAATAATATCCTCAAAAATTGTTAAAAGCTGCCCAATTGTAAAGTCACTCTGTCTTTAAAATTCAGTTAATTCCAGCAATACTACTAGTCTTCAGGAGGTGAAGGTTGTTTTTTACAAGTTTTAAATGTTTGTCATTTTGTCTTTTAAATCAAGAGTATTTTTAAAAGGGCAACATCTTTTCTTTTAAAAACCAAGTCTTCCAAAAAACAAAACAAAGTTTTCACAAAACTGTCCTTTTTGCTCAGTTATACCAGTTGAATGTCAAACTGTGAGGAAGGTCAGGGATACCAGTTCAACCCACTGGGTCCCTCCCCAAAGGGTAATAACCTCTTACAAGAGGGCCCCAATGCTGTGTCATATGTACATATCTATGTATTTACACACCCATTTTTATATATGTGTGTGTGTATGTGTGTAATTACTGGAAGCATAAGTAGAATTTCTAGTCAAATAAAATGTGCATTAAAGATTTAGAGCTCAGGGCCCTCCCTGGTGGCGCAGCGGGTTAAAGCACAGCACTGAGAAGCTAAAGCCACTTCCACATGAATTCGAATCCCGCCTGCCCCGGAGGAGACCACATGGCGTGGCAGACCTCTCCTGACCCGCCCGCTGCTCCCCTCAGCAGTGTACTTCGTAGATCTGCCTGTTCTGCTCCCCACTCTGTCTCTGGTGAAGCCTCTCACCGCCCCTGAGCCTCTGGCCTGTACCCCAGTTCTGTATGTACAAATAAATAAATCTTTAAAAAAAAAAATTAGAGCTCAAAAATACACTGATTCAAAAAGACACCTGCACCCCCATGTTTATTGCTGCTTTATTTATAATAGGAAAGACATGGAATCAACCCAAATGCCCAAAAGTAGATGACTGGATTAAAAAGATGTGGTACAGATACACAATGGAATATTACTCAGCAATCAAAAAGATAAACACATGTCTTTTTCAGTTACATAGATGAAACTGGAAGGGATCATGCTTAGTTAAATAACCCAGAAAGAAAAGGAAAAATACCGGATGTTTTCACTCATAGCAGGAGTATGAGACCAGAGAAGAAAATAATAATAATAATAATGAACAACTATGTCTCAAAGACATTTTACAGGGGTGGAGTAGGGAATGGGATCAAAAATAGGCCAGGGGAGTACACTGGACTATGGTGATGGCACACGGGTGATTTGGTGTGGGAAGCCCATTAGGATTACAACTGAGATGGCAAAAGGCACAAAATGATGTAAAAATAAACTATTATATTATTTAAAAATTTTAGAGCTATTGAAAATTCTGCTACAGGCACATTTTATCAATTTACACTCACACTAATAAAATCTAAGAATGCCTGTTTCTCCATAACCTTACCAGTATAGAGCATTATTAACCTTTTTGACCTTTGTCACTCTCATAAGTGAAAAATGGTATTTCAGCAACAAAGTCTCTAAGGTACCTAGCAAGAAATCTTGCAAAATTTATGGGGAAACAATAAACTTTATTGAAGGAATAAAAGTAACTTGGAGAGATATAGCATGATGTGGGGTAAAAAGTCTTAATATCATAAAGATGTCAATCCTTCTGAAATTCACCTATAAATCCACTGTCATTACTTTCACAACCCTCACTGAGCTTTCCATGGATCTTTGCTAGTAATGTGACAGTTCTTACAGGGGTAAAGGTCCAGGAATAGATAAATCTTAACAGACCAAGGAAGGAAATCCCTTCACTAGATACATAGACTTATACAACTATAGTAATTAAAATAATGTGGCATTGGAACAAGAATAAGAACAGATTAATGGAACAGACCAGACTCTACTACACATTGATGGATATTTTTTAACAGTTTGGTGATCCCAATTAAATAAGGATGTGGGGGAAGGGACTGTTCACAAGCTATTGGTGACAATGTAAACAGGAATCCCTACTCTTAAAGGAGAAAAGGACATTTAAAACCTGTAAAAAAAAAAAAAAAACTTTAAAAAAAAGTGATATTGGGTCATTAGAATCACTTCCTGAAAACTAGTAGCATTTCTGGAATTAACTGAATTTTTAAGACAGATTGATTTTACAATCTTTTTTTAAAAAATCATTTGGCATTTTTTAATCCTTTCATTTGGCAAGATCAATGAAGTTGAGGATATACATACAACCCAGCATTTGCACTTCCGGAAAAAAACTTTTGCACATATAAAAAAAAAAGCATTTACTAAAGCACTGTAGTAGCTGGAGGGAAAAAAAGGAAATAACGTAAAGGTTCCTATCATGTCACATAAATTCCCATATAAACAGAGTGAATGAACTAAATCTATATGAATCAACACAAATCTCTCTACTATCAAGTAAGAATTAAATTGTTAAAGGATAGTGTGATGTTTATGGGAATTTCTAAAATAAAAGAAACACCACTAGTAAATATGTGTGGCAAAACAAAAATTATGAACAAGAAAAATACCTTCAAGGAAAAGAAAAGATATACATCTTCAGGAGATGATTATTTCTGGGAAAGGAGGGGGAGTAGGAAGTGGAGGGAGAAAAAGGGAGGTTAGCTGGATCTGTGACTCTCTACATTCATGAAAATACTAGATCTCATGCTGATATGACAAAATACCAACTTTTTTA